GGGGGAGGACATCATGAAGGACGGAATTCTTTTTTTCAGCATATTTTCAGTGGCACGCTGCTGCGTGGGTTGCGGCGCTGCATTAGGTATTGCCGGTCGTCTTTTTGTTTGTTTTTTATGTCCTGTCATTTTGTTCTGTGTGCTTGTCCGCCCTCATGTGTTTTATTCTTCTCTCTCTTTGCGGTTTGAGGATAGGCAGACAAGACCACAGCGACTCGATATGTTGCAGTGCCGCATTTGCTGATGCTGCTTTTCTTTTGTGGCCATGAAGAAGAGTGAGGCAGAAAGAGGGTGCACCGTGGCTCCCTCTTTCTTTCTTTCCTTGCTGGTGTAGCGTGGTGTGCGGCCTGACGCTCCTCCATCTGCGGGGCACCGGCGGGGCGTAGTGGCGGTGCGTCGCCAGCAAGTACGTTGGTGGAGGTGTCGTGGTCGGGTAATGACAAAGAGTTGGGTTGACGTGTTTGTGGCTAGAGGAAACAGACAAATTATGCAAACCGGCTTGAACCTTTCGACATTCCCGAGGCGACTGCGGGCTACGGTGGTGACAGCATCTGCCTCCTTGTCGAATCGACGTACTTGGGGAGCCGTTGTGGATCGCGCTGCGGGAGGGCCGGTGCCACGGGGGCATGCTGCGTTCACAGCGCCTTTTGCGACGCAGGGCAGTGCGCTGCGGCGAAAGTGGCAGGGTGTTGAGAAGCCTCTTTTTCTGTTGTTTCATTACCGTGCTGCTGTGGGTGGCGTGCACCTTGGCATTTTGGGCGTTTGCAAGTTGCGGCCCAACTATTGAGGGGCAGAGAAAATTGGCCTGAATCACGGCATCAAGGAATGCCGGCAGCATATTCAGCACCTTCTGCAGGGGACACTCCTGCAGAAGAAGATGCAGTTAGCATTGGGCGCGGGCTGCTGTTCCCCGTGCTGCTGCTGGGGGCGCAGGCAGTTCGGATTCAACTCGGAAAGGAAATGCCTGCAAGAGGGTCTGCACCACTGTGACCCCCGACAGTCTCAGCGCCGGGAAACACACAACAGACAACGTGGGCAGCAGTGACGTCGCAGCTGTGTGGGTTCATGCCGCGCCGCTGCCGCTGCCGTTGCCTGTGCGGCTGGGTAATGATGAGGCGCAACCACACACACTCACACACCCTGGCAGGGACGACGCACACTTTTTGTGTGCTCAGTTTGCTTGTGTTTCCTCTGGGCCAACGTCTCTCTTGTGGTCTGAGGGATGTTTTTGCTCTTTTTTTTGCATCGTCACTCCGTGCACACTCTCAGTGTGTGGCGCCCCTTCCCCTTCCTGTCTGCTGCTGCCACCGATACACACGCGATGCCGGCTTCGTTGCTGTACGTTTCACGGAGTGCCCAAACGAAACACGAGGCCGCGGAGACCGTAAGGGGCAAATGCGTAATGCGCGACCAGGCAGTTTTTTTTTCCTGTGTGTTCCGCACCGACAATGAATACACGCTGCTCTTTTTTGCTTCTGAACACGTGAAACAAAAAACATCTGCCGAAACATTTTGTGTTGTTTGTTCTCCTTTTTTTTTCGAGTCAAATGACTGCAGCTCTCTTTTAGTTGGTGCCGTGTCCGCCACCGTCGCTGCGTGTCTCTGTGTTTTGTTTGCTCCCGCTGCCGGCTGTGCGGTTGGCATGCCTTAATTCCTCTTCTTCCTGCTAGAGGCACCGGTAGTCCACGAGGAGGATTCTTTTATTTCTTCGTCGCGATGGCAGGGGAGTGCCGGGGCGTCCGGCGGCTGTTTTGAAAGCACCCGCTGCAGAGGAAGAGAACAGACGGGGTGTGCGGCGTGTCTCGCTGCGAGTGTGTGGGGCACCACCCATCGCATCCTGCCGTGCGGCGTGATGCGGATCGGTGAGGGCAAATATGCAGCAGCGGCAGAGTGTGCGGTGGACGTGGATCCGCCCTGTCCTTCATTTTAGTTTTGCTGATGATAAGCTGTGTGTGTGTGTGGTCTTTTCATGTTGTGTTCATTGCACTTTTTTTTTTTGGACACACTGTTTCATGATATGGGTGTCCCCACACTACCGTTGTGTTTCCTAAAACTACTGGTTAGAGGCAAATACATATGCTGTTTGCCCTTTTGCATTTAAGGGTCTACTTTATTATCTGGCTAGTAGAGTAGGTTCGTGTTGCTTTATTCAGGTGCTGTTTGTTGTCTGCTAGGAGCAGACCATTTTGTGACTCGTGAAAATGGAGTGTATGAGGGTGGTGGTGGTTGTAGGCCTGTTGCCGATTATCATTCGTAGTGACTGTCTGTTTACTGTATGTATGCTGCATCCTAATGTGTTAACTCTGCAAAGTGGGTCTGATTTGGAGGGCCGCACCTAATTCCATTGGAGGACTTCCATTAGTGCCTTGCGTCTGAAAGCTGATAACGAGTTGTAGCTACTGCACGAGAGGAGGAGTGTGAGGCTTTACATACTCTTTTTCTTCTTCCTCCCATCTGTTTTACTGCGGAGAAGGGGTGAGTAGGACCTCAGGTGAAGAGTTCTGATGTGGTGAAGAAGAGACCCCAGAAAAGAGGCATTCTCATGACCCAAGCTGGTAAATCGAGAAGAAGAAACGGTTTGTGTAAGGGCCCTATTTTCACACATGGACGCATGAACTTTTTCTCTGACATCCAAGACGAAAATAAGTGAAAGGGCTAGCAACACAGAGTGAGTGTCGTTGTGTATGGGAAAGTGACGAGGGATTCCACACGTTTAACATCTCATTGAAGTGTCACTCATGGGCGGAGTAGCTTCTCTGCAAAAAGGAGCAGAATTAACCCAACCTCTTTGCAAACTCCACAACTTCATTCTTCTCGCGAGGGTGACTATTGAAACGGTTCCAACAGACTGGCAACACTCTTTATGCTGTTGAAATACAATAATAGCACGGGGAGCAGAGCATGCTGCGATGGCACAATGACGCAAAGGTGTGCAATGAGAAACGCAACTGCAATACTAACTATAGCTTCTGGTGACACTAAAATGTACTCCTTCTTGATATATTTTTGGGTTATTAAACTGTTTGCGTGTCTGTGTATTGTGAACACAATTTGAGTGGAGGAAATAACTTTGCTTTCGCTTTATTCTGTTCGGTTTTCTTCCTGATTAGTGTTTCATTATGCCTGCATGTGGCGTGAGCAAGACCCTGGTGCTGCTACCGCATAAAACTCAGATTACGGCGCAGACGCCTTGGCATGAGGTCACTTTCTTGCAGTCCTTTTTTTCGCTCCATTTTCCGGTGCTTTATTCTCTTTTGACTTTTACTTTTTTTTCTTTTCCCATAAACAGACTTGCTAACATTCCTGACACTACTGCTACTGTTTTGCATCAGGCCAACAAAAAGAGTTTTTTAAAGCCATGTGCCAGCTACGCCTCGGCACGCCGTTTCTCCTACTGGCGGTGTTTTTGCTGCTGTTGGTGTGTTGCGCCGCTGGGTGCCTCGCCGACGCTCCCGCTCGGAAGCACCGCTGCGGGTTTGACGAGATGATGGAGAGGGGACCGCCGGCGACTGCGGTGGTGCGTGATGTGCCGCGCAGACGACAGGGTGAGATGCAGGCGTACACTGTCGCCGCACAAGGCGTGGAGAGTGAGTGGGCCCCGATCCGCATCAAGGTCTCTGCAAAGGACATGTACGACCCGTCGAAGCACTGTGCCGCAGTGGGGGATATGAGCATGCCCGATGGCAGAAGGGTGAAATGCGAAGGGAAGGATCTGTTGACGGAGGAGAAGAAGGACATTATTTTGAAGCAACTCCTCCCGGCCGCAATTAACTTGCACTCTGAGCGTTTATCTGTGAAGCCTGAGAGTGGGGCGGTCGTTTTACCGACAACACGCTTACGGACATGCCACAAGTTCACTATTCCTCGTAAGCACCACACGGAGGGTGTGCGGGACGCCGACCTGGTTCTCTACGTCAACGCCTTTCCGATTGATGCAACTGCGTGGGCGATTCCATGTGCCATGCTGGAAAATGGTCGTCCATTTGCCTCTGCCGTGAACTTTAATCCTGCGTATATAGAGGCTACACATACATTCGTACGTATTGCAGCGCATGAGATGGGGCACGCTCTCGGGTTTGAACAAGGACGCTTTTGGAGATTTAATTTGTTTTCCTTGGTATTCAGCCCAAGCGTGAACAGAAGTGTATGGATGATTACCTCTCCGAAGGTGTTGGAGGTGGCGAGGAAGTACTACAACTGCCCCAGACTTATGGGCGTGGAAGTTGAGGACACGGGTGTGGGATCCATGATGTCGCACTGGAAGAGCCGCAACACGGTGGACGAAATGATGACGAGTCTTGGCGGAGGTTTCATGTATTACTCGGCATTCACGCTTGCGGCATTTGAGGACATGGGTGTGTACAGGGCCAACTACAGTATGGCGGAGCCGTTGCGATGGGGCAACAACTCTGGTTGCGGGCTGCTGGAAAATAAGTGCTTGACTAACGGCAGCACCGACTACCCTGACTTGTTCTGCAATGAGTTTACGGGGAGGCACAAGTTGCTCTGCACGTATGACCGTCTTTCTCTGGGGTACTGTGCACTGAGGACACACAAGCAGCCCCTTCCACCGGAGTATCAGTACTTCTACAAACCCACCATTGGCGGTAGTTTGCCCTTTATGAATAAATGTCCGCATGTTGTGGCAGTTGAAGCAAGTGGGTGTACCAACGGTGAGTTAAAGAGAGTCTTTGGAAGTTTCGTTGGCCCCAACTCACGTTGTGTAAAAGGAAGGGATCTTAGGTTTACTAAAACCCCCATTGGCGATGTGTGCGTAAACACTAAATGCGACAAAGGAGCACTGAAGGTGCAGTTCTATGGCGACACAAACTGGTACAACTGCAATGAGGGTGAGACAGTCGAACCATTGAAGAACGACTGGAGTGGAAGTATTGTGTGCCCCAGATACGCTGATGTGTGCACGGTCTTCCCCGCCATTAATGTCTACCCAATACCGGTTCTTGATCCACCTTTGATAGACAATGCAACATCCACAGAGGATGCAGAAACAGTTAAAAGTGGGAATGCCAAGACGGACATTAGCCGTACCGGATTCAATGGGGAAATTTCGATGCATGACGCAAGTGCCACACACAATACCAACCAGCATGTTAAATCAGGCGACATCTATTATCTTGATCCAAGTGCTTCAACGTCAATGAATTCATCGGGCAATACATTGGCACCTACCAAGCCAGCGGTCTTTGACCAGAATCTGTCGCGGAATAGCAGTATTGAGAACATAACAATTGGGGATTTGCTGAGGGAGTTTGGAAGCGATGGCGGTGCAGTTGCGACTGTTGGCTTCAGTCATCTTGCGCTTTTTGCTGTGACCAATGCTGCCGTGTTGATGATACCTTTTTAAGCAGTTGTGACTGGTAGTGGTGGTGGTGGTGGTGGTGGTGGTGGTGGGGCAAGCAACCTACAACACGTACCTCTGGAGATACCCGTACTGAGGATGCTATAAAACGACACTATTACTCTTGTTTTCCCAAACCTTTTACGTTAATATTTTTTGCTTTTTAAGGAAAAATAACAGCGATTCTTCCCCCGTTTTGCTCGCCATTTCTGGGAACCCTCGTATTTGCGCATTTTAAGAAGCGTCCACTTTTTGCGAAAATTATGTGTCGCCAAATGATTTGGAGGGAATAGATAAATCTCCGCATAAGTTATATACAATATACTTGTTCTTTTTTTTTTTTTGTTTATGCGGACAATTATTTTTTTGGGGTGGGGGTGGGGGGATCGCGACACTATAATGGAGACGAGGGTGGACCTGTGAATGTTTTGCTGAGAGACAGGAAAGACTTTCTTTCCCTCTCCTTTCCCGAACAAATGGAGTGTTTTTTGTTTTTTTTTCTAACTTTCTGTTGCGTTATATAATATATATATA